TTGGAAGAGGAAGCGAGCGAGACAAAGAGAGAGTGTGTGTGTGTGAGGGAGCTGAGGTGTTAGGCGCATGTGTGACACTTGATTGTGCTTCACTTTCTTTGCCATTGTTGTCCTCACCATTTTCAAACAATGGTGTTGGATACAGCACGCACGAACTCATGCGATGCTGCGTGATATTGCTCCAGGAGGGTCTTGTTCACCTTTCTCTTCCCCGGTCTGTCAGTGTGTCATGGGCATGATCCTTCTTTCGCGCTGCCTGCTTGATGCATAGGCCACAGCTAGTCTTCGAGAAGTGCCTGACAGTTTACGGTGAGCTGCTGAAGCGTACTTTGCTCTCTACTACGAAATATGAGGGACATTAGGAAGCGGTGCTCTGTACTTTACTGTGGCCACTTGTGGTGTATATTAGTGACCTCTCCGTGAAGCGTTAATCAATATGCTCGCGAAATACATGTCCGACACCATTCTGCTCCTTGATATGGAATAGTTTAAACGTTGCGCCTGTGAGCTAATGTGCTTGGTTGCCTTGGTATTCCTCACGCAGTGCATAGGGAGGCAACTGATGGGAAGGCTTCTATACACCCCTCGTTGCGCAGGGGCGTGCGCGCTGCTTTGTTTCTTAATTGACAGTTCTGGCGTCATGGCTGAGGCACGTGATGGGCATAAATTGGTGCATGGTGGAGGCATCGGATGAGGAGCTCATTCTTTTATCTTTACTGACGAATCTTGCCTTAAGTGTCTGAGAGTACTCTCGTTCTCTGGGGCAAGTTGCTTTTTGTGACAAGGCACGGGTTACTCCGCGCGGGCTGCCATCTTGACTTGTGTTGCACGATCACTCGGAGAAGCTGCATGACGCTTAAAGACACTACGTCTGTAGAGGGACGATGGTAAAATTGAGACTGCTTCAAGGTAGCTCGCAAAGAAGAGAGGTGAAGTGGGGTGGGTGGGGCTGCTGTGCGAGAGGAAAGAAAGGAACGACGAAGCACAGATGCCTGCTGGCGTGTAGGTGCTTATGTCACGGCTGCCATGTCTCTTCAAGGAGAAAAGGGAAAAAGAATGGAGGGAGAGGGGAGGGCAAAGGCTGTGCACATTCACTGCTCTCCATGGCGCCACAGAATGCGATTGCCATCTATGCGGATGCAGCTGCCGCCATGCATGCATCGCGGCGCGATCCACCTCTGCGAAGCAGGTGGAGATGGCCTCTCGCTTTTTAGTTGCTGAATCTATTCTTTATATTATTGTCTGGCAGAAGAGGCAGCTCTCAGTGCAGACGAGGCATTGGGTTGTGTCGATAGCCCTAAACGGGATGCCGCATTGCTGTGGCAAGGCAGTGCAAACCGCACTTCAGTTGTTCTTTTCCTTGGT